CCTGGGTTGATGGGACAGGGCCTCAGTGCGCTCACCCTGCAGGATCCTCTAGTGGAAGGGGGAGCTGGCCACAGGGTCCTGAGAGGAGGAGCCTGAGCTGGACTTGGGGCCGTGCACGCTAGTTCAGGCTTTGGAGCTCTCTGGCTGTGGGAACCCCGGAGCCTGTGTCCTCACCTAAATAAAGCTAAGGGTCACATCACCTGCCTTAGTTAGGGGGCTTAGGGTGGCAGAAGTGCCCATGAACGGGGTTCCTAAATTAGAAGGCCTGTTCTAATGAACATCTGATGTTCATCCACACGTCAGTCTCACTGCACCCATGCTTCAAGCATCAGCCCTGTGGGGGTGGGGCACAGAGATGAATGAGATGGGGGGTCCCTGCCTGGTGACTACCAAGGATGGATGGGTGCATATACAGCATGGCAATCCATAGGAGGTGAGGTCCATGAGGGTGAGCAGATGTGTTAAGCTCACTTTGGTGTTCAGGCGGAGACTGTGACCTAGGGGTGTCTGGAGACTTCAAACTGCAGAGACACGTGGCCCCTGGTGAGACTGGGGAAGACAGGCAGGGTGACCATGCCACACAGTGTTTGGCCTTCTCTGGGGCCAGGGGAGGCCACCACAGGGTAGTGGCAAGTCCAGCAGCCATGGAGGACATTCACTCTAGCTGAGCTTGGACACAGATATACCAAGGGACAGAGATGATGATGGCTTGGGTGAGGCTGGCCTGGCAGAAGGATCATTAGGCCCAGGACTTGCAGGCTGGTGAGGTGCCAAAGGAGCTGGAGAGAAGGACCAGGAAGCTCTCTGATTCCTGGTGCCCCAGCCTGGGGGGCCCCAACAGTCTGTCACCAGGAAAGGAGCAGTCTGGGTGTATAGAAAACATCCTTGGCACTGGCATTATGTCCCTGTTGTCATTTTGTCATTCCCAGGGAGCAACCCAGGAGTATTGGTGTCCTGTGGTGGGCATAACAAATCACCACAAACTTTGTGGCTCCAAACACCACGGACGTATTCTGTCATAGCTCTAGAGGGCAGACATTCAAAGTCAAATATCAGCAGGCCGTACTGTCTCTGACGGGGCTGGGGGAGAATCTGTCCTTGTCCCTCCATCTCTTGGTCACTCGAGGAGCTCCTGGACTTGCAGCCAGAGCACCCCGACCTCTGTCCCTGAGTACATGGCCTCCTCTGGGGTCTGTGCTTCTCTTCTGTCTCTTACAAGGACACGTGGCCTTGGATTCAGGGCCATCTCAGTGTCCTTAACTAGATCTGGAAAGGCCCTTTTCCCAGCCAACGTCAGTCACGGTCTCTGGGAATCAGGATATCATGGACTTGTCTTTTGGGGGCCCCATTCAACCCCCTAAACTGGAGAAAAGTAACTGTGCTAAGTTGAGGCATAGGGCATCTACCCTTTTGTCCTCTTGTATGACCTGGCTCCAGAATGCCTACCTGGGTCTGACAAACTTTTCTTGCAGGGAAAATGATCCATAGCTGCCAAAGCACGATTGAAAGTTGAACAAAAGCCCATCAGACAGTGAGAATAGAATTAGAATGAAAAATAGAATATGAATAATTCAGCCAGCTTTGCCAGGGGAGGGGACTCTTAAATGAGTCTAATTATGCTCGTTCCCAAGGGAGGCTGGTCCTGGAATGAACCTTGTAAAGCACAGTTTTACAAGTGGGATTTATGTGGCGAATATTTGAGGCTAGTCCCTTGTTTTGCGAGTGGGGAAACCAAGGCCCAAAGAAGGGAAATGATGGTCACATGTGGCCCAGCATACTCTGAGAGTTACGTCCCAGCCCAGCCCAGGGCCCCAGCTTCTGCCCTGGTGCCAAAGCTGAAGCCACTGTGTCTGGTCAGTGTTGGACCAAAAGTCACAGTGTCCACACATGTGGCCATGTGCCATGAGTCAGGGAGCTGGATCTGAGTCAGGATCTGAGTTTGGATCCTAATTATCAGGCTAGGGAGGGTTCCTTCACAGCCACTTCCCTCATCAGGAATCATCTTCAGGTCCCCATTTTATCATGGATTGAGGAAGATTCCCAGGGACAGCCTCACGTGTTAATTCCTTTAGCACCCCTGATGGCATTAGAAAAGAGCTGGGGTCCTGGGTGGTCCTGTGCCCAGTTGAGCCAGAGATCTTGGAGTGGCCATCCCATAGGACCAAGTGACCATAGACCCTGTTAGCCCGCACCCTAAGGCATGCTATACTGCCCAGAAGTGCCTGTCATGTCCCGGGGTCCCACCAGCAGCCCAGGACCACAATTCTTACAGCCTCAGGGTCCCTCAGGGGATCCCTCTTACCATTCGTTTGTTTCTTTTTCT